GCTCAGTGGCACAGCATCTGCCTGGCAAGTGCAAGGTCCTGAGTTTGATTCCTGGTACAAAAAAAAAGAACAGAGCAGAACAACAACAACAGAAAACTAGGAACTGTGTTTATACTCATATAAATCAAAAATAACCAAGAAAAAACAAAATACCAACAACAAAAAACGGGAAAAGAGCTAAGCGTGGTGGTACACACCTATAATCCCAGCACTCAGAAGGCTGAGGCAGGAGTATCGTTGCGAATTCAAGGCTAGCCTGGGCTACAAAGTGAGTTCAAGACTAGCCTGAACTGCATAATGAGACCCTGTCTCAAAAAGATGAAAAAAAAAAGAAAGAAAGAAAGAAAGAAAGAAAGAAAGAAAGAAAGAAAGAAAGAAAAGAGAGAAAGAAAAGTAGAAAAAAGAACTAGTTCAAAGTGTCTCTGCTGTCACTGGTAGACAATTTGGACAGACAGAGTACAGATCTGAGATGATTATTCCCAGCAAGGCAGCCATAGCTTTATAGTAGAGTAGTGGATAATCCCAGCAAGCCTGCACCTTTAGTTCCACTGGAGTTCAGGCTGGATTTGTTTGGCCTGCAACAGTCTTTGAGCCTCCTGCTGGCTTGAACTCAGTTCCCTGCTGATTTGAACTGGGCTCCCTGAACTACTGCTGACTTGCCTCATGGGTGCAGCCACCACTGCCTGGTGTGCAGTGCTCTTGGCCTGATGCATACTGTGGGGTGTTCTGACACCCTGCAACCATCCACAAGTGGAAGTAGTAGGGAAGAGAGCCCATGATCTCCTTTAAAGCACAAAGGTGTTTAATATCAATGATGTACAACTTATATATTTTCTTCTTTTGTGATTTTTGGTATAAAGCATAAAAAATAAACCTGCCTAATCCAAAAAGAAATACTTATGCCTATATTTTTCTTTGAGATTTTTATAAATTTATCTCTTATATTTCTACATAGTCTTTGATCCTTTTTATTTAATCCTTGCACATTATGTGAGATAGGGGGTCCAACTTCATGCTTTTGAAAGTGTCTGCCCCCTTGACCCATAATCACTTGTTGAAAAGACTATTCTTTCTTCCATTGAAATGTACTTGCATATTTATCAAAACGAATTGACTGTAAATGTGAGGGCTTGTTTCTAAATTCAAATTCTATTTCATTACTCTATGTTTATCTTTAAACATGTCTCAGTTACTTTCTTCATTGCTGAGACAAAATATTTGACATCTAAAGTTAAAGGAGGAAACGTTTATTTTGCACAGGTTATAGAAGTTTCAGCTAATAGTCAGCTGGTTCCAAATCAATGAGATGTGGCAAAATGGCATCACACAGAGAAATAGTCCATAGCAAGCAGGCAGGAGACAGCAATGCAGCAAGAGCAGCAGCAACAGCAGCTGCCTTCTTTCTGTCCCTTTATGTTCCATCCAGGTCACAAGCTTATTGATTAGTGTCACCCACACCCAGGGTCAGCACCCTTTAGCCTAGCTTCACAACTTTAACCCCAATATCACACCCTTAATCCAGCCACCTTCAAAAACCTCTCCACCTATGACCATGTGAGGCCATGGGGAGACAGGTAGACTCAAGCCATACAAATGGTACCACATTGTCTTGATTATGGGAGATTTGCAGAAAGTTTTGAAATCAGAAAGTATTATTTCTCCAATTTGTTGTTCTTTTTCAAAATTGTTTTGGTTATTCTGGGTCCTTGCTATTTCCCTGTGAATTTTAGGATGTTTGTCCATTTCTGCAAAGAAGCTAACTAGGCTTTTGACAGGGATCTGTTTCTTCTTAATTCAGCCTTCCTTATTTCTGTCCTCCTGGAGAGAGGACTCATTTATCATGGTGTATCACTCAGTGCTTACTACAGAAGCATAGGTAAGGACTTACAAGATAGGCTTACAACGGCCGCTGCAGAGTCAGGTGTGGAAGAGAACAACGGGCTGTCTGCACACAGGAAATATGAAGGATCCAGTGAAAGACCTGGAGCTCATTGTAATATCACGTGTGAGTCTGTATTAGGGAGCCAAAAGGTATGCAATGGAAGATTGAAGGGTCTACGCCGATTACACTCAACTGAGGCACAGCGGGGATTTGATGAAGGGTCTACACTGAAAGCCAGGAGAAAATACCCACAGTAAAGGTGAAGACTGGAGCTCCTCTGAAGAAACAGAAGCGAGCCTTCCTTCTTTCCCTTTTACTCCATTCAAGCAGCAAGCTTAAGTGCTGGTGTCACTCACACCCATGGTGGGGCTTCTGTCTCCAGTAAATCCCTTCAGCCATGCCCAAACGATGCTGATCCATTGGACATTTCTTTCTCAAGTGGACACAATCAGTTAACTATCACACATGGTGTATCTTTTTGTTCTACTTTCCCAGTGATTTCTTCAACTTAATTCCCCAAAGCTTCCACTGAAACACTAATGTCAGCTACCATTTTTTTTAATTTCCCAGAGCTCTTGCTTGTTCTCTTATTTTATTTTTTGTCATAGAATTGGTTCTGGTTTTATAAATATAATAAATTCTCTTAAATTTTGGGGAATATTAACTAAAGTTGGTGAAATTTAAGTCATCTCCTTATATTGCCCTTATTCACTCCAGGTTTCTTTTTCCTGATTTTTAGTTTTGGTTTCTCCCTTTCATCTTAAATGTTTCTTCAAATTGCCTGAGAATATCTGTGTGTGTGTGTGTGTGTGTGTGTGTGTGAGCGTGCACGCACGCGCACGCGTGTGGTATTGGGAGTTGAACTCACGGGTGCCCTACCACTGAATTTTTTTGTTTTGGGGAGTCATTAAGTCACTTAAGTTGGCCTCAAGCTTGTGACTCTCCTGCCTCAGCCCCCTAAGTGCTGGAATAACAGTCATGCACCACTGTGCCCAACTTCTGTTCATGATTGTTTATTTGTTTGTTTGAGCACAAGGAGAAAGGGGCTACACTAAATTTTTCATCATAGGATCTCCAAATGGTCCATTTAAGATCTTTTCTCTAGGGTCATTCAGTTTCCCCAGAGTAGAATTCTTCAGCTTTTTGCCTTAACACCAGGGGTCTGACCAGGAATCGAGGTACATGCCTATAATCCTAACACTTGGGAAGTTGAGGTAGTATTGTGAGTTCAAGGTCAGCCTGGCATACATAGTGAGATCCTGTCTCAAAAAAGCCAGGCATGGTATTTCATGCCTATAACCCCAGCACGCGGGAGGCTGAGGCAGGAGGATTGTTGCAAGTTCGAGACCAGCCTGGACTACAAAGTGAGCTCAAGTCCAGCCTGAACTGCATAGGGAGACCCTGCGCAAAAAGACAATAAATAAATAAATAAATAAATTTTTAAAAAATAAAAATAAAAAACAGTGACAGGGGAGCCACATGGGGTCAGAGGGTTGCAAGTCTCGTCATCCTGTTTGCGGACTTGCACTATTCCCATTCCCTAGTTCCGTCCCTGCTCGCTGTCTCTGCTCTCCCATTGCACCGTGTACACCCAAAGGGGAAGTCTTTCTGGCTCACCTTCTCCAGAATGAGGGCTGGTAGTTGCCTGTCTGTAATGGCTGCTGGGGAGCACATTGGGGAACTATCTGTCCCAAATTTAGAGTTTCTACCAATTTCTGTGTTTCCATTCCTGTATCGTCACCCACAATCTGGTGCCTCTGCCTCCTGACCCTTTCTGGAGTTCTGTGAGGAGGGCTGACTCTCCTCTAAGGGCACCCCCACCTTGGCAGATAGTTCCTTTTGTAAATACTCAGTCTTCAAAAATATGTTAAGCTCTCCTGTGTTTTAATATCTCCTGTCCCATTGTTTATGCTCTTTTGCATTGTATTTTTATTCCTTTCATTTTAGTTGAGTTTCAGGGGAAAGACAATTTTAATCAGAATTTAGTTCTGTCAGCTCTACTCCCAAATACTTTCCCTGTTTTACTTCCTGAGGGAATCAAGGGAACCA